AAAGAAAGAAAGAAAGAAAGAAAGAAAGAAAGAAAGAAAGAAAGAAAGAAAGAAAAGAAAGAAAGACCTAGGAATATACTCAAGAAAAGAGGTGAAGAACCCCTATAAAGAAAATTACAAAACCCTAAGGAAAGAAATAGCAGAAGATACTAACAAATGGAAGAACATATCATGCTCATGGCTGGGGAGAATCAACATCATCAAAATGTCTGTACTTCCCAAAGCAATTTACAGATTCAATGCAATCCCCATTAAAATCCCATCACCATGCTTACATGTTATTTTTTCACTTCTCAAATCTTACTTTGTGTGTTTAAATACAGCTTTAAATACAGCTTGGACAGGTGCTATAATAATAGGGAATAACTGCTTTTGTTGCCAGTAGTCACCTGTATTTTCTGTAGGAAAATTATATATTAGGAAATTTCATAAACTGGAAAACAGAGACAAGCCATGCTGCCAGTGTGCTTCATAATAGATATCAATAATAGCATATTTGATTGAAGGTAATGAATTAGACTGGCCAAGCATACATTCCTCTGGGTGGTACATGAGAGAAAGGACACAAAGTTATTTCCCAACAAAGTGAGAGATTTGCTTTACATTTTATCCTTTGGCAGATAACATTTTTGGACATAGATATTGCATTATATATCAAACACCAGAAACCCCAGCTCAAATTATTGATCAAAGATATACCATAATTCTCCTCCAGAAAAGCAAAACATATAAATATCTTTACAAATAAAGTGGGGAAGTGAGACAAGTCCCCTTAAAAGATCATGCATTCCGGTATTTTAATATTTTAGCTGATAGTGACTTTTCATCACTGTGTTTTGCAAATGTAGATAAGAATGTTTCATTATAAAATGGTGCAGGCATTGGGGGTTGTGAAGAAACAACCTGAATCTCAACTCCTTGCTTCCATTTTTTACATATACACATCATAAATGGGTCACAACTATTGAATGCCATGAAGACAACTTTGGCTAACAATCCAAACCTTTTTTTTATTTTTTGCAGTTTTTGGCCAGGGCTGGGTTTGAACCCACCACCTCTGATATATGGGGCCAGTGCCCTACTCCTTTAAGCCACAGGCAACACCCATAATCCAAACCTTTTTAAAAGAAAGTATAGAACTTTCCAGGAACAGAAGATTTCACAGGGTTTGCGATTTTCTCCCAGTAGAGAGGTTTACAAATCTCTTTCATGCACTTATAACACAAGTTTGGAAGCCTGCTTCAGCCCATTTTAACCCACCAAACCTCTGAATGCCTGGGAGTACAGGACTTGGGATTTTCACAGTCCTGAAGAGGAGGTTTCCAAATCAGCTGACCAAAGTCTCCCATTATAAACAGGCTTTTCAACACACTGTGGGCCAACTGGCATCAAGGACGGGTCACAGGTTCCCAGGCACAGACAAAAATCCCACAAGTCCAGTCAACACCGGGAAAGTGCTCATTGGGGCTCCCAGAACCACCACATACTGGGTACAAAAATTGGCATCCTCTGCTGACAAGCCATTGCTAGAGGACTCACAACCTCTGAAACTCATTTTCGAGAAGCAAGTTTTTATAAGCAGATACTATTTGGTCTATGGCTTGGAAAATTTGGAACTGAGCCTGCAAAGAGACTGGTCTTTATCAAACTGGCAAATGCCTTTTCCCTGAGACACACAGAAGGGCAAGTGCTATGTAAAAGTATACAGGGGACACCCACCCTCTACTATACTAGGATTTAGTACCGTAGAACTCTTTATTATGGACTTGAGGGACATCCATGGACTATTTTCTTCTTTTTTTTTCTAGATCAACTCTTAAAGTCCTTTAGAGTTTGATAACCTCCTGATTTCAGAGGGGTTATCTACTGTAAGTTATCAACAGCTTTCTATTTCCACATGTAGTACAAAATCAAATTCCAATTAAAAGTGCAACCATGAAAGGGACAGTTGTTAAGTGTAGAAAATGAAAATAAGGACCGAAATAGCAGACTCTGGCCATTTATCAATTTTATTGTTTGAAGTAGCTTCCCTTCCAGAGCACTGCCTAATTTGGAAGTGGGGCTGCAAAAAGCAGTCAGTGATCTGCAGAAGTGTTTCAGAAGGCAGAGCAGGAAAGTGAGGGTGTTAGTGTTTAGAGGTCCAGAGGGCTAAGACTTGGTTATCAATGACATGTCTTAGAGAATAAGATTGAAACTATGTTATGATACTATCACATCCTATCAGACCTGCATTTGCAATAAGATAATTTACGTGCATTTTAATGTTATTTGGTATTAAGCCATTAGTAAGGCAGGGTAAACTATTGCCTAAAAATGGAGACTCTGGTATTTTGAATACCAAAGACTAGTATTCTTAGCAATATATACAAGATTTGACAGTTAAGTTCATGAACTCATTCTAGAAAAAGTACTACATGCCTCCCACCGAATATCGTTACGATCCCCAGATGGCCAACGGTAGCACTTGGTAAGTGATACCAGCAGGGAAGTATGTAGCACTTTTTCCAGGAGGAGTTCACCAGCTTAATTGTATGACATGTAGACATTGGGAAAATCAGCTCATTTTAAAAGAGCTTATAAGAGATGATCTATGTTACTGTCAATGGAAACATCATATTTCATATACCGACTGGCTCGATTTTCCAATTCTTCAGTACTGAGATATCTTCACATTTCTTTCAAAGGCTCAAAATGAAGGACTGCTTATGAAACTTGCTGAGGCTTTATAGGGTTTATAACAATCATATATCAAAAAAGCAACATACTACTTTAAGACTGCCTTATTTATGGTAGATTATGGGGACATGTAGACTAGGGTATAGGCAGTGTAGTATCATGCAGTTTGGTACACATTTATTTATGTAATGCAAGTAAAAATGGTGGGTAAATGGCCATAATCATAAGACATCTATTTTTACAATTGTGCATTACAGTAAGTTGTGAGACAAAGGCTACACTGCTTGAAAAAACTATAGGAGCATATTGAAATGAGAAAAATAATAAATGGTTTTATAATTATTTCCATTTTCATAGACTATGAGCTTTGACTTCTTTTTTGGACTAAAACTAAAATTAATACATTAAATACATGTTGATACGAGTACTCTCTGTCACAATTGGTGGCATCGTAAACTAGCATAGCTTTTGTAGAAAACACTATGAAATTATGGCTGCTGTATTCATAAAAAAAAATCTTAAAAATGGTACCCCTTTTGACTTACCACCATCTCAGTGCAAAATAAAAGTGAAAAGCAACGTATTCATCAGGGACCTTGAAGACGTGTAGATTATTAGAACTAGTATTGCCACTTCTAGAAATCCGACCTCAGAATATCCTTAGAGAAAAGTTCAAAGTTCAAAGACCAAGAAAAATGTGTTTCCCTAAGTGTTATTTATGTTGAAGAGAAAATAAAACATTCTAAATGTCCAACAAAAAGGTCATCGTTAAATAAATTAGAAGAGTTTCAAACAATGGAGGATTACATAGCCAGTAAAAATATAATAAAAACTACAAGTGAAATTAGGAGTCACAGCATGAATACATTTTAAAATTTTTATTTTAAAATTTCTTCTATGTAATAAAGCCTGAAGGGTGGCATACCGTAATTGTAACAATAGCTGTCTCCAGGCAGTGGTTTTAATGCTCTTTTTTATATTTTTTCAAATTCATTCACATAAGCAGGCCATCATCATAAATAATCACTAAGGAAAGAATTGCAGATACTTCAGTGCATACCTTATGATGGCTTTGACTGCGAATCTGACCACTGTGGAGAGCAGGAACAGAGGGGTGACCAGGATATGGAAGAGAGACAGCGAAGCAAACGCCTCTGCGGGTTTTAAGTTATTCTCACTGGTGTACGCATGGGTCACAAACGTCTGTGCGAAGAAAGGACAACTTTAGACAATGCTGGAGAAAGTTCTAGACAGGCTTACATTCAATTTTAGAAACCTAACATCTTCTGCTATGCCAGTATGTCCATTGTAACTACGAAAACAATGGCTTTATCGGACACTCCTTAACTAAAACAACACTTGCTCCTGGTGAATACTTAGTGGTTTACACGTCATGCTAGCAATAAACTGGGGAGAAAGTCAGGACAGGTTATATTTACAGATTAGGAAACTGACTTCTGTCAAATTACTGAGTAGGGAGAATAATGAGTTGGACAATGTAGAGTTTTCAATAAACAGTTAAGCTCTTCCCAACCAGTACTAAAATATTACAGGAGAGAAGAGAACATTCTCTGGTTTTAGAGTTCCTATTGTTGACCTAGACTCAAACTGCCAGCATTGATGTACAGTGAAGACTTATTTACATTTTACAGATAATACTAGTTTCTGGGTTTGCCGTATTAGTGTGAACTATTATGTAATTATTTAACATTTTCTGGTTGTTGATGCTCCATCCTGTTGTAAGAGTATCTGGGAACCAGGTCATTGAGATTGGAACAGTTAATTCTCAACCACTGTTGATGTTGCTCCCCAGGGGACATTTGGCAATATCTGGGGATATTTTTCATTGTTCCAACTGAGGGTGCTACTGGCATCCTAACACAGAGGACAGATCCCTACCACAAACAATTATTTGAACCAAAATGTCCAAAGTGTCAGGATTCAGAAACCTTGGATTAGAGATACTGCAATGGAGACCGCGCAGAGGGACGTTGCTGAGGTGAGGTCATCACTACTCACACACTCTTGTTCATAAATCATTTATAAACACCGACTTGGTTCAGTTTCTAAAGGCATGAAAAAATGTCTTACAGCGAGGACAGCTGCTATGGGAATTGCTGCGTTCATGAAGACTGTGGAAAGAAATCAAATACATTAGTTTCACTGAATGCTGAAAACATTTTCAGTAACTTTAATTAATCATCTATTATTACTTTAAGACAGGAAAGACAAAGGGTTTTATATAACATTTGTCTGGAGGCCACAAACGTTTCCCAGCTGATCTCTCCTGTTCTGCAGTTGCGTGAGCTCCCATGTGTTACTCTTAACCAGAGTCTGCCTTTCTTTATTGATTTTTTTAATGAAATGTTATAAACAACAGAATTCAGATAAAATTATCCTTTAATTATACAAAATATAGATTTAACACATGTGTATTCTCGAAAGGCTTTGCACCCCCAATTTACTTGGTCCACTAAACTGATTACATCTCTAAAAATTGGATTAGTACACAGATTAAAAATAAGAATTTGACATCCCTTCCAGTTCTCTTTCCAGTCATGATATTAATGATTTTCAATTAGTAAAATGACTCCAGATCCTGAACCCTGTGCTTGTTTAGATATCTCTGCAGGAATATTTTTCACTCTCATCTGATGAGCATGAGCTGCTTAGCTGAAATGAGAAAAACTCAAATTGGAAAGTAAAATAGTAGTTGAGGGAGTAATAGTAAAAATGAAAAGCCAAGTTGATGATTTATAGTCATACAGCTCATGAACTGTAGAATTTGAAGGACCAAGGGCCCCCAAATTCAGTGACTTGTTTGGTAACGGAGCCAGGCAATGCAGAGTGGGAGGTAGAATCAAGTTTTCTTGATGGTAGGGAGGCAGGATTTTTAAACAATCATCTGCTTTCCTGAAATATCCTTACCATTGCATACAGAACAGAATCAGATAACTAAGTTCCCAGACGTGACTTAGTTATCAAATACAAAGTCTGCACAGTCCTGGGAATACCAACTCTGACCTGAGCTCTGTAATGGCACAGACGGAGCCATGCCTCTGCCTGAAGCTTCTTTCTCTGGTTATTGTCACCCTATCATCTAAGTGTATGGTCCCTCTTACCCTCGTCATTACTTAGTCATTTATATTCTGGATCTTTAAGTAATCTCCTCTTGAAGAGGAAGAATAGGAACAACAACTGTTGTATTCAGAACTATTCACATGTCAATCTGCATCAAGTATCATAGCAGATATTCTTACTACCTAAATATAAAGGTGAGAATGAGAAGCCCCAGGCCACATGGTGGGCTTCAAACCCACGCTGTCTGGCTCCTCCGTCTGCGCTGGTACCATAGTGTTCTACTGCTACTCAGCAGTTCACAATTACTGAGGTATGACGTTAGCGTTTTATATAGATTCTCATATTTAATGATTATAACAACCCTACACAATAATAAAATAATAACAGCTTAGGCAGGATAACATGTAAGATGATTAATAAAGTGGTGATAGAGCTTGGATTAAAACCCAGATCTTTCGACTTCAGGATGGATAATTGGGATGGATAACTACTATTTACCTTCCAATTTGAAAACCCAGGTTCTTTCTACTTTCCATATAAAACACTATCAAAGCAAAGATGAAAAGTAACATAGTGTTGTTTTGCCTTTACTAATGAATTAAAACCCATTGATGGTACATGACCCTTGATAATGGAGACTAGGAAATTGTTAACAGAATTTCTTTTTCCCCTAAAATATTATCTCAAGTGATGAGAACCCCAATTCATAAAAGTAGAAATGAATCTTTGCTTGTGCTGGAGATACCATTGGTATGGAGATACCATTACTTGTGTACTTTTATGTTTCTGGTGCTTTTGTAAATGCCTCATATAATACCTTATTTAATTCTCTAAGGAACCATGAACACATCTGAGATAACTGACGAGTAAACTGAGAATTCAACAATTAACCGACCAACATTATCCAGCACACACATTGCCGAATCAGGATTTGATTTCAAGTCCCCTTGCTCTCTAGTACCCAAGGGAAACCACTATCCTATAGAGTTGATTTTTTTCTTTCTATCCCTTGTATTTTTCATTTGGTGTTTGCATATTCTACAATACTTTCCTCAGATATTTTAACATTCACTTAACAAAGGCACATTCACTCCCCCACTTGATTCTCAAACCTACCTGCATCAGAAGTATTATTATTATAATCAATATTCAGATGAAAAATTGAGGGGCAGAGGTTATTGAGTACCAGGCTACTTGCCAGGTGCTTTATATGAGGTAATGAGTATAAAGCACTTGACATTGTGCCAGGAATCGGGTATAAACTCAATAAACATTTGCAGCCTTCATTATCTACTTTAATCTCTACTACAATGCTACATGGTAGATATTATCATCCCATGTTATAGATGAGGAAACAGAGGCTAGGAAGATATAAATAACCTGATCAAGGCCACACCACTACAGAGTGCAGAGCTGGGATTTACAGCTAACTCTACTCACTCACATAGTTCAGGCGCTTAACCATCAACAACACCACATTTGGTCAAATAATAAAACTAGAAGTGGTCAAATTAATATTTTGCTCCATTGACTCAAGCATTCCTGCTGCCTATTATGACGAACACAAGGTCATGCATTTTTACCTTTATGACTTCTTTTTTTTTAATTTCAGATGAATATGAGGGTACAGATGATTACATTACTTTGTTTGCATTTGTTAGGTAAAGTTCAACTTGTAGTTGAGCCCTCCACCCAGGTGGTATGCTGTAAACCATTACATTGTGTCCATTAGGTGAGGGTTTACCAATCCCTCTCCCCTTTCCTGCCCTCCCTGGCCCTCCCTGGCATTTAATTGTATTTTTCTCTCATGTGGACTTCTAGTTGTTTATCTATTTGCTTCATATTAGAATTACATACTTGCTTTTCCATTCTTGTGTCATCAGAGAAATGCAAATCAAAACCACCCTGAGATATCACCTAACCCCAGTGAGAATGGCCCACCTCCCAAAGTCTCAAATCTGCAGATGCTGGCGTGCATGTGGAGAGAAGGGAACACTTTTATACTGCTTGTGGGATCACAGACTAATAGAGCCTCTATGGAAAGAAGTATAGAGAATCCTCAAAGAGCTAAAAGTAAACCTTTCATTTGATCCTACAATCCCATTCCCTCAGGACATTTGCACTAGAATGTTCATCACAGCACCTCTATGACTTCTTCTTCTCCTCTCCCCTCTCCTCCTTTATCTGTCTTTCAAAACCAGTCCGACTCTCACGTTTGGAGACAGGCAGACTGGGTTAGTGAAAGTCTCACCTCTGCCATTTAGCAGCTGGATGGTTTGCAGTTCAAGTTACTTAAACTCATTACACCTCAGCCTTTTGATTTCTAGAATGGCATTAATAATAGACTATCAGTTACGGGGCTGTTGTGAGGATTAAATGAGATGATATATGAAAAATTATTAAAGGCAATCACTGGCTGAGTATACTCTCAACATTTTTTGTTGTCACTTTTGTTGTTATTATTATCATTATTTCTTGCCGCATTCATTCTCCCCATAAGAAGTTCAGCCCCCTGCAGAGAAGGGTGTAATATAGGGGCATGAGCTTAGATTAGAATTATATAAGCAAGTAAATTTCCATCATTCCATCCTCTAGCATTCGCACACCATGTTAACAGTGGTGCACAGCTGGAAAATAAAATTCCTTCCAGTTTCATTTTTAATGCATCAAGCATTAGGGCTAGAACAAATAGGCTGTACAAGCCACATATTCTCTCTTTATCAAGAAGAAAGGATTTATCAACTTCCAATACTAAGTTGGTAAAGGTCTTGGAAAGACAGAGCTGAGTAGAACTGACATACAAATCAAATCAACTGTTAGCTCTCAAACTCCTGAGCTCAGGCAATCCACCCGCCTCAGCCTCCCAGACTGCTAGGTTTACAGAACTGACATACAGATCAAGTCGACTTATCAGGAGAATGAATGGACTGTGCTACTATGAACCCATTATTCTCGAGGGTCCTCAGAGTTAACACCCTGAAAAAAGAAAACACTATTTTTGAAATAATTACTTTTTAAAAATTAGAGTTCTGGACAAAGAGCTTTGTATTTAAAAATTCTTGAAAATACAGATGTACCAAAAAAAAGTATACACATTTTAAGAAAGGAAAAAAACTGTATTAAAATTGTAATACTTGGTATATGCCAATAATATTGGTTATCTTATTTATTATGTCATGTATCTCCCATAATCATGGAAGTCAAACATGATCCAAGTATTACAAATTTAATACAGTTTTTTCTTTTCTTAAAATGTGTATATATATTTTTTGCACCCTCTGTATATTGGGGAAAGGAATTGTATGCAAATGTTATTTCGTTTCTTTCACCTGAAAATGATATTTTTCCTCCTCAATTTTTAAAAATGGATATATTTTCTTTAACAACTTCAAGAAAATATTATATTCTAAGCTCCCAAAGAGACAGGTTAAAAAAAATACCAAAAATACCTGCAAATAGTATTAAAGGACCTTGGGGGATAAGAAGATCAATAATAATGCAGTCAAAACAGTTTCAATAACCACATTTTTACTGAAAATCAGTTATCCGTCTCAATTGTAACTGATATGAAGGTGTTTTTTTATTTTTGTTTGTTTTTTGAGACATTCTCACTCTGTCACCCTCTGTCACCATAGAGTGCTATGATGTCATAGCTCACAGCAACTTCAAACTCCTGGGCTTAAGTGATCCTCTTGCCTCAGCCTCCCAAGCAGCTAGGACTAGAAGCACCCACCACAATACCCAGCTATTTGTGGTAGAGACAAAGTCTTTCTCTTGCTCAGGCTGAGCTCAACCTCCTGAGCTCAGGCAATTCACCCACCTTGGCCTCCTAGAGTGCTGGTATTACAGGCATGAGCCACTGCACCCAGCTGATATGAAGGTTTTATTTACAGATACTGCTATCGTCACCATCCTAATTTCACAGATAAAGAAGCCTACAATTTTCAGTTTGTAAAGTAACATAGCCTAAACCATACTATTTGTAAGGAATCAAATTCAAGTCTATTTGACTCTAACCTGGGCTTAGTCTTTAAAAGTCCATACAGCCTTATGTGGCCAGTGACTATTGGACAGCACGTGTCTAGAAAATAAATGGTGTTCCTTTAATGACTAGAATATTTCACCTATCCCAATGTAAACAGACCGTGGGATTTTTGGTTGCTGTTATTTCATCACCTGTTCTTAGAGCAACAACAACTTACTGGACAGCGATGTATAAAGCGCAAAGGTTTTGAGGCTGGACAGTTCCTTCATTCGTGTTTCCTCCACACTTTTGCAGAAAATGTGCTCCCAGGCATACAACTTTAACAGCTTGATGCCCTTCAAGATTTCATTGGTTTTCTTCAGTCTCTCTGTGGAATAATCCTATAAAACAAAGGAATAAAAAAGAATGTGAGCTGCAACCAAGTGAATCAGAAAGGCAGGGCCACGCGATGGACAGGGATTGAGGAGATCTAGGTTTCTGACAGGCTCTGCCACAAAGCAGGCTGTAAAATTCCCAGGAGAGGTGGTTAAACGCTCCATGCTTCAGTCTTCTCAGCTTTAGAAGGCAGAGTTTAATGAGATGGCCTCAACATTTCTTTCCACAGTAGTTTTTTCGGTTTTGCATGATTTCCTTAAATAACACCTACAGTTAATATAGACATAACTTTAAGGAAAAAATAAAGAGACTCATAATGCCCCCTCACAGCGACATCATTTTATTCTTCCCTCCCTGCTATCTACTCATACCTAGAAGAAGAAAAAAAAAAAAAACAATGAATTTAACAAGAGCTAGTATGCTTATTTGGAAATGTGAGGATACAATATTGTGTCCATTCACATTGCATCTTCACAATCCAGTTATTGAAACTAAGCCCATTATCTTAACTTTAAGAGATTTCTACATACGTCTTTGTAAACTCTTGTCTAAGGCCTGAATTGGATTTACTAACGACTTAGATTACTTGTAGAGAGATTCGTGATAGACAAGCCTCCATTTAGCCAACTGTTTTAGCTTCCTCCACCACCAAATATGAAAGTAGAATTACTAGCAAAGTATAATATGACCTATTAACTATCAAAAGGGCCGAAGAGTAGTCCAAAGACAAATGGTAAGAAGCAAAAGTAGCAAATGGCCTAATCTGTATCCATCTCATTGTCTCTACAGGGTCTTAAAGACCAATCAAGTGATTGTTCAGTGAGTGAATATGGTATCCACAGCCCAATGAAAAACAGATGTTTGGGGATAGTCGCATCTCCCCTTAAACTCCTCTTCCACACCTTTCTATATTTATGTGCTGGAGTAAAAAGGGCATATGGCTCAGACAGAAATAAGGAGAAGCAG